ATTTCATTTACAAAACTTTTTTGCATTTAAAAACTTTTACGTTTTGTTTATAAAGTACTTGAAAACCTGTACAGCAAAAATATCTCAAAGTGCAGTTTACTGAACATTACAATTTGCATCACAATTTGTTAGTGCTGTTGCATAATAAGTATTAATTGTTGCTATGGTTTCTTTGTACTTACAGTAAGTTCATTGGGGAGGGGGAATGTATTTGTTTACAAGCAAGTTGTATTTATTACTGAAATAATCCCTAGGAGAATATTGAGAAAGCAAATATGAACATTACATTAATTTAAAATATTTTAAAACCAGCCACTTTCAATTGTTTGTGTTATCAGCATATATACTGATCTTTAAGATTAAATATACTAATTCTACATAAACAGTTCAAATGTCTCAATATTCACATCAAATTAAAAATTAATGCTGCAATTACTACTCACAGTCAGGTCAAGAAAGCAAATAAACTAATTCACATCAGGAATTCTCAAAATGCTGTCACTAATAATATTAAAGCAACACAGAACAAATGTTGGGTTTCAAAACTCTTGGTTTCATTAAACACTACTTGTAAACATGGCTGCATAAGATTACTGAACACTGTTATTTGATGTGATTAAATAAATAAAACCATTGATATAAACAATTCCTATAACCTTTTTGCATAGGGTTTGGGTTAAGTTTACTTTAAAATGCAGCAAGCTGTTAATAAAACATGTTAGTAAAATAGGTTCCAATCATGCTAACAATTACACATGTACTTACACCCTTAGTTTCTAAATCTAATGGGATGACTCACATGTGTATCTGTTTACAGATCTGGGGTCTAATTTAGCACTTAATAGTTGTCCCTAGACATTTAGAAGGTGAGCAGTAGAAGTGCTCTGCACAAATTTATAAAACATGCTGTTCAATTTAAAAGTATATCAATGGAAATATTTCAGTAAAAAGTCACATATTTATTATTCCAAACAGGTTATTTACATAATATATTACCACAGCAGGAAATACCTCACTGTAGTACAACAGTGTACAGTTGTGAAACACAGTGTTTAGTAGAATTTCCCTTTAAATTTCCCAGTGCATAAGTGGTTTATAACTACACTATAAAACATGCCCAAGTCTATTATTTACTATGTACAAGACAGAAGCAAGATGTGAGGAAGGAAATGTAATGCAAGTATTTGGAAAAAATGGCAAAGATATAGCTACCCTCTCCTTCTGGCATCCAAAGCATAGAGAGTCACAGAGAGTGGCCAAGCTGCTTCCTGCCTGAGAGTCCTGGTGTGGTGGTGCATGGGCTAGATTTGGTGGGCTGGATGTGCAGCATGGGCAGCATCTTGCCTGCCCCTGGTCTAGATGAAAAAGAAATCTAAGATTTTTATAGTCTGAGTAACATAAAACCAAATGTAAGAAATAAGTTTGTAAAAAAAACATAAAAGGAGTACCATGATGCTCAGTTCTTAAATTCCAAAACAAGGTCCAGATTCCGGTCCATCCTATGGACTTGGTGGGCTGGATGTGCAGCATGGGCAGCATCTTGCCTGCCCCTGGTCTAGATGAAAAAGAAATCTAAGATTTTTATAGTCTGAGTAACATAAAACCAAATGTAAGAAATAAGTTTGTAAAAAAAACATAAAAGGAGTACCATGATGCTCAGTTCTTAAATTCCAAAACAAGGTCCAGATTCCGGTCCATCCTATGGACCAACTTAAGGAAGTTAGAAGGGAAATAACATGACTTTTGCTTTGAGGTACTGTACCATCATTTCTTGTGTGCAAAGAGAACCAAAGCTTCTCTGACTCTCTCTATTCAGGTGGAGTCTTGACTCTGCTCCCTACAACATTCCTACTGGCAAAGTTACATCAGCATTTCACAGAGTATGTATTGCCTTTTACAGTGTATTTCCTTCTTGGAGCAGTGGGGAAACTGAAAGGAGATTATGACTCTCACTCACACTCTCCCTCCAGGAGTAGCATAACAATGTGATTACCCCTCAATCAGGACTAGACTGCACACAAACAACCCAGGCCTAAGAGAGTGCAATGTTGATTGTATTCACAATATTATACCCATCCAGTGATTCTCAAATAGAACTAAAACCAAATGTCTTGAAAAAAAAAGCTAAAAAGCAGAACTGAAATAAGTTGTTCAACATGATGAACACATCCTTATAATCCCTCTGTTCCAAGAATGGACAGGTACCTACCAGGTTTATCACCTCTTAATTGTTCAAGAAAGAGTATTTCTATGTTTTTCAATCAGAGAATTGGAAGATGGTTTCTGGGTTATTGCTGTCTGTAGGATTTGTTGGCTGCATGGTTTTTGTTGGCGTAGTTTTACCATGAGAATGAGAGGAAGAAGAATGTGAACTTTCACTGGAGCTGCTACGTGTCTCTGTGCTTGTACTTGTCTTTTTCATCTTTCTTCTTTTAGCAAGAGGTGCCTTGTCAACATTCTGAAGGCAAAACCCTTCCCTTTTGTACTTGTTGAAGGCCTGTTTCAAAATAAAAAGGCAATTCTATTCATTTATAAAAGATATGTTAGAACATTTGTATCAAGCTATGAATTTTCTGTTTTATTATTTCTCAAGTGTCATGTCTATTCATTTTTATGCAGTTTCAGTTTTACAATGCTTTATAGAATCACTAATTGGCACTCTTCATATATTTAATGTTTTTAAAATTATTCCTCTAAGCCTTAAATATAGTCAAGATTACATTTTACTATATTATATTTACTTAAATTGCAATTTTAGTTTTAAACTTTCAATTTTTTTTTCAAAATTGAGCTCTCTGCAATTGCTAAGTAAAGAAAAACTATTTACCACACTTTTTCTTCTTGGACAACACCGACCTTGTTTGTAATGACGCCATAAAATGCAACGTATTTGAGCATAAACTGAAGTTCAACATGCGTTTTTAGGCTATTCTTCATAGATAAAGTTTTGAAAAAAATCAATATTACATTTTCCTCCTGCATTTGTATAACAAACTTATATTTAGTGAATTAATGTTGGTATCTATTAATGTTCATTAAGGTAATATCAAAGGTATTTCCAAAGAATATTCCAAATTGCAATGTTTTAGATTCTTTACCTCAAATTTCCCTAGCAATAGTTTATTTTCTTCCTTTCTTTCCTAATCTTAAAGAGGTCAATTAAATTGAAAATCAAGCAAGTACTAAGAGTAACCAGAAAATTACCCACATCTTACAAAGCTTTGTTAAAACAAATCTCTAATCTTGTATAATTATATGGTAGCTGTTTCACCAGCACCACTTTCCCCAGTGATACAAATATATTATCAAAATATATATTCCCCTCGCAACTTCCCATTTTGACACGTGTTTGAGTATATTCTCTCATGTAGATTTTTTGCCACTGACACAATCTACACTACTAGATAGGCCTTATATTTCTGTGACTTCCTATACACCTATCACAGAATTCTAAATGTAAATACATTTTTAAATAACTCATATATATCTAAATTCTAAGCTGATATAATGTAGCAAATGTTTAAAATTTGTAATTAAAATGCAAGACTTTGTAAGCTTACATGAAAGGTGGCTTTGACGTATGTATGTACAGCAGCTCCTGAGGAGCCTAAGTTATCAGGAGTCATTAGAGGATTGGATGACAGCTGGCTCCCATCTTGAAGCCATTCACTATATCTCAAGCTGGACATTTTAATTCTTTTATTTGGATCCACTGTAAGAAGTCCTAACAGAAATATATTAGACATTCTTAATCCAGGAGCTATTATTTAGCTAAATACTGTGGATAAAGTAATCATTTGAAAATCTAAAAACAGAATAATTTGATAAATCATAACTATATATCTCTTAGCTATAGGTCATGCAATGTTGACCCACGATTGTACAAAACACTTTTTAACAAAGAAATGAACTAAGAACTTGCAATAAAACATTAATAAATCAACAATAATAAATCAAGCATTCAATACCGGCCATCCCTAAAAATTATAGATTAATTCTGGATGAGCTGATAATTATTGCTTATAACAAAAAAACTACTTTGGTTTCCCTATAAATGTAAAGTAATAAAGCACAAAAACCTGAAGAAAATATGCTAGTGTGAAATATGGTACTTTACTTCTTGTTAATGTTGGTAAAAGAAAATATGAAATATCCATAGATACATACCTTGTATCAAATCTTTGGCTTCCTGAGATACATTCTTCCAAGCTTCTCCTTCAAAAGAGAATTCTCCCTTTTTAATTTTCTTCATAATTTCCAATGCACTAGTGCATGTTAAACCTTTGTCTTGAGACTGGAAGGGCACCTGTCCTGACAGCATTGTATACTACCAGAACAACAAAAAGAATATTAATTATTGCCAACCTTACTACAGCATTACCGAGTATATTAACCTAACTCAATATTCAGATAGTGTTGTTGTTTGTAGAACATATATATTCCAACAAATAGTACAATAGCGATAGTATTAATAAAAATTATATTTTCTAAGATGTGCACAGCCTAATGCACAACAGATCATAATTTAATCAAATTGCTCAGAAAAAAACCTGAAAGCTGGTTCTAGCTCTCCTATCTTAAATGCCTCCAGTGCACATCCCAGCTTGCTATTATATGTGCAGGAAAAAAATATCCTCACCCCACTCCAAAGTAGTGACTATTCAATTCTAGCTTATCTAGAACAAAATCAAGCCTTTCTCAGATGCTAGTTTTACCAAGAAACCCATTCTGCTTGTGTTATCGAACCATTAAAATAATTAAGCCACACAGCCAACCACTCACCAAAATGACCCCCAGACTCCAGAGATCACAGGATTCATCATAACCATTGTGATTTAAGAGCTCTGGAGCAGCATAATGAAGAGTAAAACATGGCGTCTTAAGAGGCTGATTATCTGGTGGCTTTAATCGAGCAAATCCAAAATCAATTATTTTTATTTCTGAATTATCATTTTCATCTGTGAACAATAAATTCTGAAAAACAAATGCAAAGATAACTATGGTAATATTCATAATTTAAAATATGCAATTTTAAAAATACCAGAAAATTTTTCAAACCAATAATTTTAAAATAATTGTTCCTAAGAACAAATAGGCAAGCCAATATGCTTGTCTCGTATTTGTGGATATATTCTATTTCCTCAAACAGCTTCATTAGAAATAGAAGTTAATTAATATGTTTAATTTATAAACAGAGCCTTACCAAATTCATGGCCCATTTTGGTCAAATTCATAATCATAGGATTTTTAAAGATTGCAAATGTCATGATTTCAGTTATTTGAATCCGAAATTTCATAGTGTAATAGTAGGAGTTCTAACCCAAAAGGAGGTGGGGGGGAATGGCAAGGTTATTGTAAGGTTTGCAATACTTCTGCATTGCTGCCTTCAGAGCTGAGAAGCTGGAGAGCAGAAGCTGCTGGACAGAAGCCACCACAGCAGCAGTACAGAAGCAAAGATGACATAATATGGTATTACTCCCCTTACTTCTGTACTGCTGTTGGTGATGCTGTCTTCAGAACTGGGTACCCAGTCAACATCTACTTCCCTCCAGAGGCCCAACTCCAAAGGAAGTGCAGAAATAAGGATAACAAAACTATGATCCTGAAAATAAACTTACAACACTCTCCAACTCCTTTTAGGGTCAGGTCTCCCTATATGAGAGAAATACTACTCTGCCCCATAGTATAGAGCAGCAATGGGCAAGACCGGGCCACGTGAGTGGCCTTCCATCTCAGTGGGCGGCAACACTGTTAAAATCAATATGGTCTCCCAGGATAGAGTCGTTTTGCTAACTGTGCTGGATAACCTAGAATTTGCGGGGTGTGACAACTGGATTGTAGCAGCGCTTTGATTGGATGCAGAGAGAGCTCACCAATGTCACTGTTAATGTTGTGTGAAATCAGCATGCACCTCACTTCAAGCGCCCTTGCACTTCATGTCACTTTAGTAATACAGATAGGAAAAAAATCGATGCAGACGGAAACCAGTAGAATTTGGTAACCCTGCACTTGGGCGAAGGTAAGCAAAATGTTTTGTGTGTCACTTGTTGTCGTTTGCGAATAATGTCAGTCTGTGCGTTGTTACGGAAGCTGTGTATATAGAAATCCAGATTGTAATTCCGACCGTCAGGGGGAGTCCATATAGAATTATTTTTCCTTTGGTGTTGATAGGGGAGATCTGGTAGGTCAGACTGATGTTCAGTGGTGGTTTGGCAATATTCTCGGAGACGGAGGCGGTGAAAAAAAGCCTCAAGGTCACCACCGTACAAATCAACAATGGAAAATTAGACACCACTCTCTACAGAAAACCCACCGACTCATACAGTTACCTACATGCTTCCAGCTCCCATCCAGAACACACCACACGATCCATCGTCTATAGCCAAGCCCTTCGATACAACCGCATCTGCTCTAATCCCACTGACAGAGACCAGAAGCTTCAGGATCTCTACCAAGCATTTATAAACCTCAACTACCCACCCAGAGAAATAAAAAAGCAAATTGAAAGAGCCAGACGAATACCTAGAAACCATCTACTTCAAGACAGACCCAAGAAAACCAACAATAGAACACCACTTGTCATCACCTACAACCCCCAACTTAAACCTGTCCAACACATTATCAATAAACTACAGCCTATATTGGAACAGGATACCATACTCAAAGAGCCTCTGGGAGACAGACCCATAGTCTCCTACAGACAACCACCTAACCTCAAGATCATTCTTACCAACCACCACAGGACATACCACACTAATACCAACCCTGGTACCTTCCCTTGCAACAAACCCCGTTGCCAGCTTTGTCCACATATTCATTCTGCTGATACCATTATTGGACCTAACCAAGTGAGCTATAAGATCAAGAACACATATTCCTGCGCATCCAGAAATATAATCTATGCTATCATGTGCCGAAAGTGTCCGTCTGCTATGTACATTGGACAAACATCTCAGACACTTCGCCAAAGGATTAATGCCCACAAAACAGATATCAGACAAGATCACAAAGAGAAAACAGTTTCTTGCCACTTTAACCAGAAAGGACACTCTCTAAATGACTTAGCCACCTGCATTCTGCTACAAAGACCTTTTACATCTGCACTTGAAAGGGAATCCTCTGAACTGTCATTCATGTTAAAATTCGACACTTACCAACAAGGACTTAACAAGTCTTTGAACTTTCTCACCCATTACCAAGACAGTTTCCCCAATTATCACCTGTAATACCATTAACTCACAAACATCCCACTCTCCCTACCTTTAATATCAGCAATTCACAGACACTTACCTTCCTTCCTCCCCCTTCCCACCCCCCCGCATCCCCCTTCTGTTCTGCAATGTGATTTGTCCTTTTCATATTTGTTCATTTTTTTAAATTGTATCCTTTGGTATATATGGTTGTGACTACTTTCTTCCACTATTTGATCTGAGGAAGTGGGTCTGGCCCACGAAAGCTCATCATCTAATAAACCATCTTGTTAGTCTTTAAAGTGCTACATTGTCCTGCATTTTGCTTCAGGGAGGAATGAGGCACTGAGGAATGCCCCCAGTGGGGCAGACCAAGGAGACTGTTAGTACTCCTCAGGGTGGAAGCTCTCCCGCAGGGCCTTGGGAAACTGACATCCCCCCGACAGACCTCCCAGATGGCAGCCTGCAGCAAGTGCAGCCAAGCTTGCAGCAACGTGTCCAAGAGAAGCACCAGAGTTCCATGTTGCAGAGCGCTGTGATGTCCCGAGCGAGGGCAACCAGAACATGCCGAGACAAAAATGCTTTGCTGTCCCTCATCGAGGGAGACAAACAAACAGGGAAACCTGAGAAACAACTGCCTGGGGATGGGGGGGGAGGGGCCTTTAAGCACAAACCTCAGTTAACCTCAGGCAGCAGCCCCACACAGTAAGTCCTGACCTCGTGCCCTCCCGGAACTGGTTCTGGCCAGCCTTAAATGCGACTCTAATTTGAAAAGCCGTGAACGTGCTATTTTGAAATAGCAAAACTCTAATTTGAAAAGCATTTTGTGTGTAGACGCGTTATTTTGAAATAACTTATTTTGAATTAACTATTTTGAAATAAGATATTTCGAAATAACGCTGTAGTGTAGACATACCCTTAGAGCTTGGCTGCTGACCAGGGCAGAGGTTCTTCCCCAGCCCCAGCGGAGGAAGACCTTGCGACGCTGCCCTCAGGAGGAGGATTGGGTTGGGCTGCCCGGGCCACTGCTGGACCCTGAGCACTGGCCTAGACCACCATGGCCACCACCGGACCCTGATAACTGGACATGGCTGTGGAAGCTGCTGCCTGGGCCCACAGATTTACCCGGACCCCCAGGACCCTTGCTAGGCCCAGATGAATGAGCTGGACTGCTTGGACCTTTACCCACACAGGACTCCGAGTCTATGGACACGCTGCCAGCACCTCTGTCCCCAGCCTTCACCAAGAAACAGCACCCAAGCCAGGTAGGCCCCCAGGGAGAACAGGGAAGTGGCCCACAGACAGCCAACCCTGGGGCAGCTGAGGAAATGGAGATTAGCTGAGCAGCGCATTGCAGCTTAGACCCCTGCTAACCCACAGACCCTGACAGCGGGTTACGGCCTGGATCCCTGCTGACCCAGTGGCCCAGGCCTGCCACTTTCTCCCCTTGTAGGGAAAGAAACTCCTGCCCATTGGCTCTCCACAAGCAAGGAGATCCAACCCCTGGCTCAGCCTGCAATGAGGCCTGCACCTTTGAACCTCACTACTGTATACCAGCTTGTTTGTTGCCCTTCCCTGACCCAGGGCCCAGGTGCATAAATTGCCGACCAGCTTAACAGAAACTGTTTAACTATTATTTGCTGCCCCGCCCCGAATGTGGGCGTGGTCTCTAGGCTACTGCCTGGGTTATCAGAGACTGCTTGACCGTTTATTGGCAACCCTGCCCTGAACAAGAGCATGGACCCTAGAATGGATATTCAGCCTGTAGTCAGGCCTGAGGCCCTGAACCCTGGGGGCTTGTAGTGAGTCAGCATAGCCTTCCACTGATACGAACTATTACAGGACCACATGTAGAACCCTGATGGATTGTATACAACTTGCAGGTTGCCTACCACTGGTATAGGGTCATAGTACACAATAAAACGGGTTATTGGGGGGAGAGGGAGTGACCAGATTTCATGGTCTGTGGCATGTTTTTTATGGCCATAAATTTGGTAGTGCCCTATTTATAAATCAACTCTGACTGGAGACAAGCATTGTTTATCGCCATTCAACATGTAAGAAAAGCTTTTATATTATGCATGTATGGCTACGTCTAGACTGGCATGATTTTCCGCAAATGCTTTTAACGGAAAAGTTTTTCCATTAAAAGCATTTGTGGAAAAGAGTGTCTAGATTGGCATGGACGCTTTTCTGCAAAAGCACTTTTTGCGGAAAAGCGTCCGTGCCAATCTAGATGCGGTTTTGCGCAATAAAGCCACGATCGCCATTTTCGCCATCAGGGCTTTTTTTCCGCAAAACAGTTTTTAGCTGTCTACACTGGCCCTCTTGTGCAAAAACATTTCCGGAAAAGGGCTTTTACCCAAACGGGAACGTCAAAGCATTTGCGCAAGAAGCACTGATTTCGGACAGTAGAACGTCAGTGCTTTCGCTCAAAATCAAGCGGCCAGTGTAGACAGCTAGCAAGTTTTTGCGTAAAAGCGACTGCTTTTGTGGAAAAACTTGCCGGTCTAGACGCAGCCTGCATGTTTAAGAGATGATTTTCTGAGTTACAGTGCAAAATATATCAAACCAGACATGGTGTTCCAGGGTGACAAAGGGATGTGGTTGAAAGCCTTTGACCAAGGAGTCAAATCTGCTGCTTACTTGCCGGTTGATATAGGGCGCGGTTGGTCTGATTGCGCCTTCTTTTGGGTCACTGCCTTGATCATGACTGGTCAAACCACGTTGTTGTTGCCTATTGTATGGGTATTCATGGCACCTCTGGTACTGTATTGTACATATCGTTTACAGCGATATGGAGGTGTGTACATTCCCAGAGTTCAGAGGGTGGCACGAGAATCTTTGCCAGAGTCGAAGACCTCATCTGTTTTCTTGGCAAAGATCTTTTGTTTATGAAAGGTGTGGTCCTCTGCTTTACTCTAACTCCCTTGGAACTCCCACAGATTGTAACCATGAAGATCTCCTCATTGCAATTGTGGTAGCCATGGAACAGGCAGCTGTGTCCGCGACATCTAGGGCGATCTGAAGACTTGTCCTGACTGAGGCATAGCCTTCTTGGACTATGGATTTTAAAACAGGTATTTTGGAGTCTGGGAGATGCTCCATCAATGTTGTAAGTTTAGTATAATTGTCAAAATCGTGATTTGACAAGAATACAGCATAATTTACAATGTGCAGTAGTAGTGTAGCCGAGGAGTATACCTTTCTACCAAATAGGTATAATCTTTTGCTTTCCTTCTCAGTTGTAGCATTCCTGTATTGAGGGGCCTTAGACCTGTGCTGGGAGGCATCTACAATGAGCGAATTTGGCTGGGGATGGTTGAATAAAAATTCCAACCCCTCTGATGGCACAAAGTATTTCTTATCTGCCCTTTTATTCGTTGGTGGGGCAGAGGCAGAGGTTTGCCAAATCTCCTCTGCAGCCTCCATAATTGCCTCATCAATCGGGAGTGCTATTTTGGCCTGATGCAGGAGATTTTTAAGGAGGCGGTACTGTTTTTCCTGCACCTCCACCAATTGAACCTCTTGACACGATGCAACTCTCTTAAACAAATCCTAGAACTGCTTAAGATGGTTGGAGGATGATATGTCACCTTGGGTCCTGGAACTGCTTCAGATGGTTGGAGGATGATATGTCACCTTGAATCATGACCTCGTCAGGAGAGGATGATGATTGGTCAGCAGGCGAAGTGTCAGGTTGTTGCTCTTCAACTTCTGACAATTGCCCTTCTTATGGTTCTAAGTGACGTGCTTGAGATGGTGGGCTTTGCGGTGGTGGTGATGGAGGATGTCACTCAGGTGGTGTTACAGAGATAGGTATATATCTAGGCGACCTACAATAGCAGAGGGACCATCTCCTGGAATGATGATAATGGTGGTGGAATGAATAGTGAGGTGTGGATCTAGATGATAATGGTATGATCACCCAGGCGAGGAGCGCTTAGAAGAAAAGGTATCCCTGTACTCCCCTCTGTACACTGCATGTGGAGACAGTGCAGGTGAGTGGGGAAAAGCTGCAGAGCCTCTGGATGAGGGGGGTGGAGAGCGAGAGAGGGGTGCCTGGCGTGGTATCAGGAGTTTCTCCGCAGTGCCAACAGGTATGGGGATGGAGACCTGCAATGTAGTGAGTATGAAAGCTTCTCCTGTTGCATATGGTGACTACGCGGCCCCAGCAATCTTGGTCCCAGTGGGGATAGTGACAGAGAGAATGTAGGGGAAGCCAAAATAGGGCTAGGACTCCTATGTGAGTTGGTCTTTACAGACCCTTTTCTTGGTGCTGAGAAAATATCAGACCTTTCCGGTGCTGGCTTAGATTGTAGCACTGGTTCTCTAGCCGCTGGTGTCAGCGTGGATACCAGTGCCGATGCTTTAGCTTATGAGGTCACCGGTGCCAATGCTGACCTCGGTGCCGTTGGTACCGTAGCTGGTGCCTTCTTAGGTCTTACAGCTGGAATCGCCTTTGCATAGAAAGAGGCGGTGCCGAACCTTCTGGGTTTGTCCCCCATGCTCATCCTGCTCAGTTAGCCCAGCAGCAAAGAATGTGCCGGTGAAGCCTGTTTTTTTTTTTTAACTATAACTATGACTATTAACTATAAACAGGTAACATTAAAAATAACAACTAACGAAGAAAAGGAAGTTACTCACTTCGTGCAGTAACGATCGTTCTTCGAGGTGTGTCCCCGTGGGTGCTCCCCTTCTGGTGTCGGGCTGGTCCCGGCGCCGCAAATCGGAGCTTTACAGAGCTGTGTGGCGGTGGAGAGGTTCAATGGGACTCTGAAGCAGATGCTACGGACCTTTATGCACAAACACCCGCAGGACTGGGACAAGTACCTACCCCACCTGCTGTTTGCGTACAGGGAAGTGCCCCAGGAGTCCACGGGGTTCTCGCCGTTCGAGCTGTTATATGGGAGGCGAGTGAGGGGCCCCCTGGACTTATTGAAAGACGAGTGGGAGGGGAAGGTCTCCCCGGAGGGTGAGCCGGTCGTGGAATACGTCCTGACATTCCGGGAAAGACTTGCCGAGCTCATGGGCCTGGCCAGAGAGAACCTGAGCAGGGCCCAGAGAAAGCAGAAGGTCTGGTACGACCGCAATGCACGGGCCCACGCCTACGCTACTGGGGACCAGGTGATGGTCTTGATCCCCGTGCGGAAGAACAAGCTGCAAGCCGCCTGGGACGGCCCCTTCAAGGTTATTAAGCAGCTGAACGAGGTGAGAGACTTCTTACAGATAGTATAGCAAGTCGTGATACAAGAGACAACCAGTTTAGAAATGCGCTGGGCGGATAAGAACTTGCCCCTAGAAGGCCCCGATGTCGAAATGAAGAGGCGATCCGTCTTACGTAGAGTACGGGTTCTGTTTATATAGAAAGCCAAAGCTCTACGGACATCGAGCGTATGCAGGAGAGCGTCTCGCTGAGAGGTATGCGGTTTTGGATAGAAACATGGCAGAACAATTGGTTCGTTTATGTGAAAATCCGTACAGACTTTAGGTAGAAAGGCTGGATGAGACCTCAGTATCACTGATTCCGGGTTGAAGACTGTATAGGGAGGTGTTGACATTAGTGCAGATAACTCACTCACCCTACGTGCTGATGTTATGGCCAGAAGAAAGAGCACCTCCATTGTAAGCATCGGTAGTGGTACCGTTTCTGCTAATGAGGCACAGGATATTTAAATCCCGGCTTCATTAGCAATTTCAATGTGCTTGATTTGCATCCCTCTGTCGACAGAAGGATGCAGTCTAGACACACCCCACTTCTCCTTTTTTGGGATAAGGACCTTTCCCATTACAACATCATGACATTTTAAATTTAGCTAGAAGGAATCATGAAATTCTAAATTTTTAAAATCCTGTGACCGTGAAATTGACTAAAATGGAATGTGAATTTGGCAGGGCTCTATTTATTATTTTAATTACTTCCTCAAAGCTGACTGCTTCTAGAGAAATAGGCATTTATTTCTTGTCATCTCTGAGGGTGCATCTACGCAGCAACGTTATTTCGGAATAATGTCCGTTACTCTGAAATAACTGCGAGGGTCTACATGGCAATTCCGTTATTTTGAAATAATATCAAAATAATGAACGGCTTATTCCAGATTCTGTAAACCTCATTCTTCAAGGAATAATACCTCTTCCAAAGTAGCTATTTCAGAATAACAGTAGTGTGGACGCTCCACTGCTGCTGTTTCGAAATAGCTCCTCCCCTAGGCCATTCAGAGTAATTACTCCCCAGTGCTTCCCAGGGCTCTAAATCGAGGTAGCATGTCCACATTAGGGGAGCCTGTCTCGGACTCATTGTGAGGCTTCCCAGTGGTGTAGATGTGCTATTTTGAAATAAGCTATTTTGGAGTATTTCTTCCAGAATAAGCTATTCTGAAATAAGTGTGCACCTGGCATTGGCCACTGTCAGAAGACAGGATACAAATCGCTTCTGCACAAAGTGAACGGGATCGGGCACCCCCCTGTCTGTTCACGTAGTACATCGCCACTACATTGTCTGTGAGAATTCTGGTGACAGTGCCTCTTATGTATACCTTGAAGGGTTTGCAAGTGTTTGCAGGCATGAAACACGGCTCAAAGCTCGAGAAGATTGATATGGAGCATCATCTCCGTCGTGGACCAACGACCCTGAACTGTTTTTGTGCCCATGTGGGCACCCCAGCCGATGAGAGAAGCGTCTGTGGTTATCTCTTGTGACGGTTGCGGTGCATGGAAGGGGACTCCTGACAACATGTTGTTGTGATTCGTCCACCGTAATAGGGAGTCTTTGACATGTACTGGAAGTACCACAGTCTTGCGGATGCTGTGCTCCATAGGCTTGTACACCGTGCTCAGCCAATGCTGCAGACACCTGAGGTGTAGCCTTGAATGGCGCACTATGATTGTCGTGGAAGCCATATGACCCAGAAGCTGGAGGCATACGCGTACCGGGAGCATTGGAGCTTGCAAGACTGTTTTTATCAGGTCTTGTATTAATTGAAAATGCTCGAGTGGCAGATGGACTCTCTCTAACTGGGAGTCGAGACGTGCTCCTATGAAGTTTAGAATTTGTGTTGGTAGTGGACGTGATTTTTGAATGTTCACGATAAGGCCGAGGGAGTCGAACAACTCCTGAGTTGCGACTACCATGTGTTGAGCCTCTAACTGGGTGCGCGCCTTGATGAGGCAATCGTCGAGGTAGGGGAAGATAACGACTCCTATCCTTCGAAGATGGGCAGCCACTACCGCTAGTGTCTTGGAGAAAACCCCTGGCAATCGTCGAGGTAGGGGAAGATAGAGACTCCTATCCTTCGAAGATGGGCAGCCACTACCGCTAGTGTTTTGGAGAACACCCTTGGGGCCGAAATGAGGCCGAAAGGCAGGACCCTGTATTGAAAATGATCGTCGCCCACTACGAATCTGAGAAAACGCCTGTGCGCTATGTGAATCGTTACATGGAAATATGCGTCTTGCAAATCCAGGACTGCGAACCAATCTCCTTTGTTTAGTGCTGGCATGATTTTGGCCAGGGTGGTCATTTTGAAGCGCTGCTTTCGGATAAAACGGTTGAGACCCCTCAGATCGAGGATGGGTCTCCACCCCCCGGACTTTTTGGGAACCAGGAAATACCTGGAGTAGAACCCTTTGCCTCGAAATTCGTCGGGTACTCTCTCTATGGCTCCAATCTCGAGTAGGTGAAGAACCTCTTCTCGAAGAGCGGCCCCATGAGACGGGTCCCTGAGAAGGGATGGGGTGGGAGGAGTGGTAGGAGGGATTGATGCGAACGGGATTGTCAGGCCCGATGATATGACCTCTAGGACCCATCGGTCTGAGGTAATGGTGGCCCATCGATGAAGAAATGGCCTCAGGCGGTGGTAGAATAAGGTGGTGGTGGTGGTGGTTGCAGGCTTTAGTGTGTTGACCAGTGGAGACATGTTCGAGTCCTCCGCACAGGAGTCAAACCTGCTGCTTCTGGGAAGGCCGAGCAGCAGAGCGATTCTGTTGTTGACGTTTACGTTGAGGGCGCTGTCTAAATCTAGGCTGGTCAGATCCACGCTGCTGTTGCTGCTGTTGCTGTTGCTTATAGGGAAAATAATCATATCTCCTCTGGAAGGGGTAGTATCGTCTGCGTTTAAAAGGTGACGTGTACATCCCCAGAGAACGGAGAGTCATACGAGAGTCCTTGCCAGAATGGAGGATCTCATCGGTAGTAGAAGCAAACAGCTTCTGGCAATCAAAGGCTGGTCAGATCCACGCTGCTGTTGCTGCTGTTGCTGTTGCTTATAGGGAAAATAATCATATCTCCTCTGGAAGGGGTAGTATCGTCTGCGTTTAAAAGGTGACGTGTACATCCCCAGAGAACGGAGAGTCATACGAGAGTCCTTGCCAGAATGGAGGATCTCATCGGTAGTAGAAGCAAACAGCTTCTGGCAATCAAAGGGTAAATCTTCCACTTTGGAGTTCAACTCCTTAGGGGCTCCCGCTGACAATAACCAGGAAGCTCTTCTCATCGCGATGCCTGTTGCCATCGCTCGAGCAGCTGTGTCGGCAATGTCCGCGGTAATCTGAAGGGCTGTTCTACATGCAGTGAAACCTTCCTGGACAATGGATCTAAGGAGAGACTTTTTACTGTCAGGGAGGTGTTGCATAAGTTCCGGTAACTTAGAGTAATTATCAAAGTTATGGTTCGATAAAAGAGCAGCATAATTGGCAACCCGCAGTAGCAAGGTTGAGGAGGAGTAAACTTTCTGACCAAAGTGGTCCAGTTTCTTTGTCTCCCTATCCGGTAGGGAATTCTTAAATTGGGGCATCTTGCTCTTTAGGCGAACCGCATCCACTATCAGGGAATTCGGCTGGGGGTGATTGAAAAGAAAATCCAGGCCTTTGGATGAGACAAAATACTTTCTATCAATTTTCTTATTGGTGGGCGGTATCGATGTTGGCGTCTGCCAGATGTCCTGCGCCACTTCCAAGATGGCATCATCTACCGGGAGTGCAATCTTTCTTTGTTGTTTAGGGTGTAAATTCTTAAACAACTTATGTTGCTTAGCTTGAGACTCAGTGAGCTGCACCTCCTGAGATTGCGCTACACGTTTAAACAGGTCTTGGAATTCTTTAAGATCGTCCGGTGGTGACTTCTCGCCCAGGGACAGCGGTTCATCCCTAGAGGGCTGTGGTGAACCGGTATTAGGGGACATATCCGGATCAGCTTCCAAGAGTTGCCCTTCCTCTAGATCTGACATTTGTGATCAATGTGTCGGGGAACGAGAAGGTATCGGGCGTCGTAGCGGAGAATGTTTGGAGATCTCTGAACGCACAGAGCGTGGACTAATTGACCTACAGGAACATGGAGACCTGCGATGAGATCGAGAGTGACTGCGATGAGATGATTCAACATAGTCCGGTCTATAACGATGGGTATAGTGCCGGTCAGACCTTGCAGGGGACAAGCGTCTAGAAGATCTAGTGCTGTCATACCTGACGTAATATGCACTTCTAGATGAATGAGTTGGTGATCGTGAGCGTCTCGCAGGAGAAGGAGATCTGGAATATCTCTGGTGTGAACAGCTACGCTCTCTATCATAATAGTGACGAGATGAGAGACTGCGGTGGTAATAACGCCCATGGTCTCTTGCGTGGTGCGTAGAGGCACAACGGTAAGGGGATGGCTCGTGGTGAGACCTTGGCGAGGTACTCTGAGAGATTCCCTGGGCATTTGATCTTTAAGATGAGAGACTGCGGTGATAATAACGCCTATGATCTCTTGCGTGGTGCATAGAAGCACAACGGTGAGGAGATGGTTCGTGATAAGACCTTGGCGAGGTTCATCGGGAGATTCCCTGGGTATTTGATTTTTGAGTTGTTGCTGCAGGCTGTGCAGAGCCTGGAGAGTGAAGAGTTAAAGGCTGTGAAGCAGGCATCTGAGCAGGGGCATGCTGATCCCCTGCCGGTGCTGAGGGGCGCTCCCTGTGAGGGGCCGTGATTAAAGGCACTTCAGCAGGCGGCA